GGGGTGGTTGGAGCTGGACGCGGAGCTGGGGGGATGTCAGCGGGCGAACATGGAGCAGGCCGGGGTGGAAGCAGTGCATGGCAGTGGCACAGGGTGGTGGATGGTGGCTGCTACTGCGTGTAAGCTCCCCGCCCACCGATGCGTACCCCCTGGGGCCTCTCCAAAGAGGGCTACATGTACCCCCCGGGGTTGATAACCCCTGGGCTAGCTCCATCCTCTTTCAAATCCCTCTTCAATTAGTTGAAGACTGCTATTAAATCCCCTTTCAGTCTCCTCTCCTCTAGACTAAATAAGCCCAGTTCCCTCAGCCTCTCCTCAGAAGACATGTGCTCCAGCCCCCTCACCATTTTTGCTGCCCTTTGCTAGACTCTCCCCAATTTGTTCACATCCTTTCTGTAATGGGGTGCCCAAAACTGAACACAGTACTCCAGATATGGTGTTATCAGTGCTGAATAGAGGGGAATAATCACTTCCCTTGACATAGTGGCAACACGCCTACCAATGCAGCCCAGTATGCTGTTAGCTTTCTTGGCAACACGGATGCACTGCTGGCTTATTTATACTAGGACCTAAACAACGCGAAGATGAAAAAAGATGGAAAAAGGGAGAAAAGGAGAGAGGAAGACAAAAACGTGGAAGAGCAGAAGAGAAAAAGAAAGATTAACATAATTCTATATCTCTGGTCAGAGATGTTGATGAAAATGTTCATGTATTCTATAATTTGGGATCAGTTGCACTGAAGTTCAGATTTGGGATGGTGCACAGGTAACTTGGCTCTGGTCCTCTCATCGGCATTTTCTCATCCTTTCTCCTACTTTGTGAGGATAAAAATGCAATCAAGTTGGTATTTTGTAGTTGTAGCTTAGGACGATTGATCTCAAAATATGAAGTAGGCTCTGATCTTACACTGAGTCATGCAAGTAGAGACACAAAGTCTAAACAGAGCCTCAGTGAAATCACTATAGCAGAAATACATGGAACTCCAGGAAGGCACAGAAAGATTTGTCTATGTGGTTCTTAATGAAGAGTGGTGGCCTAAATTAGTCACATGACAAAAATGTCTGCATCCTTCCTTTTGTTTTTATACAAATGAAACTTCTCATGTTAAAGACAGAAACATCCAAAGGATTAAATGGGAGCATCAGATAAAATAAATATCAAATTTCAACTTTTAGATATTGCTTTCTTAATATATATCATATTACTATCTACATAGTACTAGATGGAGATGTCATACACAAATAATCATTCATAGACAAAATGTTATCTCAGTTTGCAAAAAAAGTGATTAATATATTAATTAGAAAGCATAAAAATGTTTCTACATTAAAAAATTTAAAGCTGGAAAAAACTTGTATTCACTATGTATTAATGATATTTTCTCCACTGTAGTCTTAACATAGTAGTAATCATTATTGCTTCAAGACGAATCCAGCCAATTTTAGGATTCTGCAATTCCCACAAGCAATGCTACTAAGAATGCCAGGTTTCCACACACAAATGTTAAAAATATAATAATTTCACTTTTTATCTAGAAAAGAAAAAAAAATAAAAAAGGTTATTCAACCATTAAAATTAATTTTAACATTAGTTTCAGAAACAGCTTAGTTGCATTCAAAGAAACTTTGAAGCCACAACACCATTTTATCAATTGATCAAGTAAAACAGGTGTAAGTATGCTACAGACTTAGTGCCAGAGGAAGCTTAGGAAAGAGTCATTGTGAAAATGGCTGAGGAAAGAACAATTAGTGGAAACTGCATATTTGTTGAAAATGCCTGTCAATTTTAAGTAACAAGAATGTAATTTTCTAAAATAGTATTTGATTAGGCTACTAAGGTTATGGCCTTCATATCTGTGTAAAAGTTTCAGAGGATATTGTGATCTTATCAATTTGCCTCACCTGAAAGAACGCACCTCCAGTAAAACAGTGGGTCCCCTACACTCATTACTGTCAATTATGCAAAAAAAATGCCACATCTTGAAAACTCGGCCCAAGGAGATAATCTAATCAGTCTATGAATGCCTACGTGAGGAAAAAATCTCTTACTGCACGGAGCTCTTCAGTCTAGCAAACAAGGTACACTAAGATACAGTGGTTGGCAGGTGAAATTAATCACATTCAGACTGGAAATAAAGTGCAATTGGAACATTTTACACTAGGGAGTGTTGTGGATCTTAGCAGCATTTAAATCAGGACCAGAGGTCTTTCAAAACTTATGCTCAAGAAGCACCTATGGATGCAATATAAGAGTTATAGAGTTAAATTCTATAGGAGGTCAGACTAATAAGGCTGCATGCAGACATTCAGCTGCTGCTCTCCCACGAGAAACTGCAAATGTCCAGATGTTCAAGAATTTCATCTGGGAGAGTGAATGTCTGGACACAATCTTTTCTGAGAGAAGCCAGAGTACAGTCCTCTAGCATCCCAGTTGCTCCTGTCCCCATCTCCCCTCAGGCTGGATTCTACTGCTCCAGGGAGACACAGGCAGATCCTGAGCAGTGTGGGTCAGCCAATCAGAGCTGCTCTTTCCACTGCTTCCATATGTCTCTAAGCAGCCAAAGGGAGCCTACAGAGCACACTAAGATATATTATGCACAAGGACCCCCTGGCTCTGCAACATCAGCACTGCAAGCTCTCCACCCTTCAAGTGTTCAGTATCCCAATGTCTGTTCAGGCATCTCCAGGTAAGTTTTTCTATCAGGAAAACAAACCTGGGAGAATTCTCTCAGATCACTTGGGTATGCAGCTCTAAGTGATCATAATTAGTGCATTCTGGTCTTAATTTGTGAATCTCTTTGTGCACCATCTGCATTTTTCTCAGAGCTCTCAGCAGAATCCTATTTAATTCATGAGACCATAAGAACACAGCCCAAAGTAATGCCAAACACATTTCAAAACATATGAAAAATAAATCATTTGCATTTTAGATTACTATGTAAAGTGTGGTATCAGTATTACCTCGCCATGTGAATCTTCAAACTTAACTGAAAAATATAAACATGAAAATTATCAGTTTCAGTTTTTACCTCTTTTCCTTCATTGAAAGTCAAAAATTTCACAATGTGAAAACTGAGTCTTTACCTTGTTTGTGCAAGCCTTCAAACATAATGTGTATTAATGCCTCCCATCCTACAAATCCTCCCATAGTTCCAATCATCCACTGATTGGGAGAATTGTCAAGCATCTGTAGGCCCAAAAATATGGCAGCAACTAAAGGAGAGAAAAATAAAACAAGGCAAAGCACACACTAGGCATAAGACCATTACTGAACATTTAGGATTCTCTCCAACATTTTAGTGGATATTTTAATTTTGTTTTTAAGTGCTATTACTGGATTTGCAAATTCCATTGAGAAACAGTGGTGATGCAACCTATTGGTGAATGAGTGTTACAGAGCTTCCTCTTTGAGCAACCTGCAAAGAATTCAATAACCAAAGAAATCTCTTTGTTAATGAATACTTAAGGTATCCAGATGCCTTTCCAGAAAATCAAGCTCAGCAAAAAAACAAAACAAAACAAAAAACCAAACCAAACCCCAGATTTCTGTAATGCAAGAAATGAAGAGTTAAAATACATACATATCCATACAACCATAGCTCTCTGCCTCCTTTTTCTCAGAAACTGACAACAACCAATCTGAATTATCTGCAAGCACTTCAAGCGGCATTCACTGTACTAAGTGCAGTTGCACTGAACTATAGAGGAATTAGTTGGGTTAGTGAGACAGAGCTCTGAGGGATCTATGAAATGGTCTGGGTGGCCAATATGAAACAACTTGGAAGGAAGTGGAAGGAGTAAATTTCTTTGCCTACCCTGGCCTGAAGAGCTTGATGTGGACTTTGGGAGATCTACTTTGTCTCATTTCAGGGCAGCACTTTTTCAGTTGTGTCAGGAATGGAGCACAAGGGATTGTTAGCAGTTAGAGATGAGCAAGGCTATACATAGGTCTGTGAGGTTGGTGATAGGCAAGCTAAAGTACAGTGGCTAGATACCACTATACGCATAGAGGTGAAGGGGTTGCAAAATTTACCAGACATGATATTCTTTCTGTGGAATAAACCAAGCAAGTTTCTGGTGGTGCACGCTGTGGCCACGTGCACGGTGCTGCTATTTTTAGCGGTGGTTTTTTTTTACACTGAGATCTCCCAATGTCAAAAAAGCTGTTGTACTGCAAATTAGCAGGGCAGTACATGAGTGCCTGTGCACAAGTAGTTTGCAGTGCCTCAAATGATTTTGAGATGCCACAAACCGCATGTACGTGCTTGTGGGGACATGCCGTGTGGGTATCTTGTGAACCATATGTAGGTATTTTCATAGTAACTGGGCTAATGCTGCGTAGTACCACAACACTCTGGTTGAGAATTCCTGGTATCATAAAAGCTATTAATAAACAAATCTTGCTTCTCACCTATTTCTTGGATCATCATGGCTATATCTCTGTTCTGTCCATATTTAAAAAACATCCAGATGGCCCAGTTATATGGCTATGATTTAGTAAAATACAATGTTTAGTAAAGCACTAACCTGATTCTGAAAGAAGTTTAAGTTGTTAATATACCATTTACTTTTCCTTTCTTGCATGCATTTAAAAGCTTGTTTAATCAATACATTATCACCTGTATATAAAAGAATAGTTGAAAGACAAATACAATAGCGAATTCTAAGAATATTACATGCCAAGAGAATGTGCAGTGATTATTGATTATTATTATAAACTATAGTATTTTGTACTTGCTAATTGTATTTAAACACTATGAAAATAAGGGCTTGCTATAGCACTCATTGTCTTTCCATTGATGTCCCTGGGTAGTAGTTCAGAGCAAGCATTACTTTTAAGCATTTTGCAGATGAAAAAAACTTGAAGGATGGAGAAATTAAGGGTGCAGACAGAAGTGACATTTGTTGTATCATCGGCCCCTTGAAATCACTCTAAAGCTGTGCCCAAAAAGAAAAGCAGGTCTATAGAGCCCAAATTAACTCTCATTGTATGAGGTTTCAAATGAAGCCACTCCTAAGTGGAATGACTTAATTTGTCAGCTCCAGCTGTAGCACAGTAAGCTACAGCTGCTGTCTCTATATGAGAGGGAGAGAAGGCAGGGGAGAGAGGTCCTTTCTGGGGTTCTCTCAGCCCTGCTGGAGTTGTGGGGGGGTAGATTGGAGGCCCCTCACCTTGGTGGGGCGGCTCCAATCTACACCTCCTCCCCACAATCCAGCAGGACCGAGAAAACCCCAGAACAACTTCCCTCCCTCCCTGCTTTCTTCCCACACCATCCAGAAACAATAATGGAGCTGGCGGGCGGTGGGGTGTGGAGTCAGAGGATGATGAAGCTTTTCTCCCCGGATTGCCTCCAAATTGGAACTGATTCTCCGCTCTCCTGATCCAACAACTAATTTCTGTTGGATTGTTCTAACTCGTGGCTATTTCTGTGAATCACCATGCGTTAGACCCAGCAGCTGCACTTTTGTCTGTGCCCTAAAATACCTGCTCAAAGTAGCACACCATACTGGTTGGAGAGCTGGGAAAGAACCCAAGACTTCCAAATGAAACTGTGTGAAAAATGGTGTTCTGGGAAAATTGCTGTGAACAAAAACAAAATGTTTCCACTATTATTTTACATAAGGGGAAGGGGATGACGTGGGCGGAGGAAGCCTCAGACAAGCAAGCCAAGCATCACCTGCAGGATCAGCCCAGCCTAAACCGACAAGAGAAACAGGTAATCAAGTAAGTGACATGGGCCTGGGTACCGCTGGGATTAGGGGGGTGGTCCATTCATCCTCAGGAGGCCTCAAATGCCTCTATACTAATGCCCACAGCATGGGGAACAAGGAGGAGGAACTAGTCCTCCTGCTACCCAGCACCAACCCAGACATAGCGGGGCTCACCGAAATGTGGTGGTACCCAATGCATGACTGGGCAGTGAATATCAAGGGCTACAGGCTCTACTGGAAAGATCGGACAGGTAGGAAGGGTGGGGGTGTGGCGCTCTATGTCAAGGAGCAACACACATCCCCAATGTGTATCACTGGGTCAGAGGAGGAGCAAACAGAAGTGCTCTGGGTTAGAGTACAAGGGGGTCGGGGAGAAAGGGACTTAATGGTGGGGGTCTACTACAGACCACCCATCAAGGAGAAGATCGAGACCAGGAATTCTTAAGTCAGCTCATGGAGATAGTTAGGTCCAAGGATGTGGTCATCATGGGTGACCTAAGCTTGCCAGATATCTGCTGGGAGGAGCAGACAGCCAGGTCTGACCGCTCACGCAGGTTCTTAACTGACATACAGGACCTCCATCTAACCCAGGAGGTACACAGCCCCACCAGGAGAGATGCCTTGTTGGATTTGGTCCTGGCCATGGGCGACGACCTGGTACGGGGTCTGCAGGTGCTCGACCACCTATGTGATAGCGATCATCATCTGCTGGAATTCACCATCCAGTGCAAGGTGGCAAAAGCCTCCAGCAAGGCAGCAGCCCTTGACTTCAGGAGGGTGGACTTTAATGAGGTAAGAAAACTAGCGGGGGAAGCACTGAGGTCCCAGAGGTGGAGGGAGTCGAGTGTCCAGGAGGAGTGGTCACTCCTTAAGGAGACGATCCTCCAAGCTCAAAGGGAAGTAATCCCTACATGAATCAAAGGGGGCAAGAGGG